CCGATATTTACGGTAAAATGTCAACTAAAGGTACTGGTCCATATATTCAGTACCTAGGGGCTTGAACAGTTTTGGTTGCTTTAGAGAATTTTGGTCACAAGGTAGTCATTTTAAACGTATTATTCACGCAAAGTTTTACGCCGATATAGTCATTGTTGCTTGATTTGCATAGTGGAAAGTGAAAGAATCAAGTGGAATTTAAAATGGTGTCATAGGAAAATAGGCTGGTTGAAATCGATTTCGCCCATTTTCGAACCATAACATAGAAATATAAAACGAATGTTATGTACCAAATTTATTTGAAATCGGTTAAAAGATCCGATATGGTTTCTAAAAGTGGTGTCATACTGTCTAATTTGAACGCGGTTCCTATAAAGTCATCTCATATCATCCCTGAGATAAAATTTAATGTCTCTGGCGTGTTTAGTGCTTTATTAATCCGCTTTAGTAGTTTCTAAACAGTACCGTTACATGGGGAGTGGGGGGTTGTCACCGATTTCACCCATTTTACACCGTAGGTAGAGGTGCTAAAAACATTTGATTCAGTGAGTTTTGTTATTATAGCTTTAGCAGTTTAGAGATGTGCACATGTCTACCAAGTTTACAGATATCTCAATTTTTACTCAAGTTACAGCTTGCACGGAGGACGGACAGACAGACCCGGATTTCAACTGCTTTCATTTGATCATTTATACAGTGTAGATAAGTGAAGGTAAGTTGGTTAATTCCACTATATTTGGTATTACTAAAAATAATAAAATAACGAATAACTTGTTAGCATTTTTATTTAATTATTTATTTTCTTATAAAACAAAAACATTTTCTTTTCAATAACATCAAAATGCTCAAAGTTCATTAAAATATGAAAATGACATCGCAAAAGTCTTGGTACGGCTAAAGAATAAGTATTTAATTTTAATAACGAAAATAAAATTTAAATGGAACTTAAATTAATATTTTGTAGGTATCCTTTAAGTCTAATAACTCTTTAAACGTTTTGGCATGGATGGGTTAACTTTTTTACATCTGATGATATTAGCTGTCATTCTTCATGTATAGTTGATTTGCTTCTTCCCACAATTTTTCCGATTATAAAGATTTACTATCTTGAAGTTAGAATTACAATTTTCTTTCTTCTAAACTTAATTCTCTTCTAGTGTTTAAAATTATTACTTTCACAATGCTTTTATTGTTTACTTAAACTAAACTGAATGACAGAAAATTTATAATCGAACAAAAATAACACTCGCACAAAAGTACCTGTAACTTCATAAGAAAAGTGAGCGAGTGGCGCACCTATATACTTTTGATGCTATTTTTATATTTTAAATGAACTTTGAGTAATTTTGTTGTTGCTCAACTAAAACTATGTGGTTTTTTTTTATAAGAGAATAAATAATTAAATAAAGAAATGCAAAAGTTATTCGGTTATTTTTATTATTTTTAGTAATATTATCCAAAATAGTGGAATTAACAACCGTACCTTCACTTATGCTGTATACTGTATATAATATAACCTATATCTAACTCGATTAGTTTTAGGTGATACAAACAACGTTAGGTGAACAAACTATTATACTCTGTAGCAACATTGCGAGATTCTAACAGTTTTATGCCGAATATTCGGTCAGTGGGTATTAATATTTTATATTTTATGGTATTGTAGATGGGCGTAATCAGACCACGCTACGCCCAAAACGCCATTAATCAAAACAAATAAATATCCATAATAAGCTCCGCAATAAGATACAAGACTGTTATTTGGTACAGGATCACATTAGGGAGAGCATCTGAGTTAATTTGTTTTTAAATGGGCGTGGTCCCGCCCTAATAGGTTTAATACATATCTCCTAAACCGCTAATGCTATACTAACAAAATTATCGAAGCAAATGTTTTAGAACCTCTACCTACAGTGTGAAAATAGTTGAAATCGGGTGGCAACTCGCCCACTCCATATGTAACGGTACTGTTAAAAACTACTAAAGCGCGATAAATCAAGTACTAAACACGCCAAAGACATTAAATTTTAACTCTGGGATAGTATGAGATGACTATAGGAACCGCGTTCAAAATTAGACAGTTGTGGCACGCCCACTTTAGGTGAAAACCCATATCTGAGCTCTGCTTAACGATTTCAACCAAATTCTATAAGTAATGAAATGGGCGAAATCGGACTGCAACAGCCTATTTCCCATATAACAGCATTTTCATTTATATTTGATTCTTTCACTTATAGTATGCAAATAAAGCAACAATGATTGTATCAGAGTAAAACTTTGAATAATGCGTTTAAAGGCCACCTAGTGACCAAAATTGTCTAAATCGAGTCAAAATGTTCAAGCCCCTAGGTAATAAATATGTGGACCCAGTGCCTATAGTGACTTTTACCGAAAATATCGGTCAACATAGAACAATGCGGAAGATCCACAAAGAAATATAAAACGAGTATACAATTTGACTTTGGAGTATAGGTTGTTACATCCGAACTTAGCCTCTCCTTTCTTGTTTTATAAAGATTTGTAATCACGAAAGCAAGTATATAATTGTAATTTTAATGTACTAAGCTGTAAGATATATTATGTGAACAAGTTTTCTACATATTTAGTACCATTAAAATAGAGCACATATGCATTGACTCAGAGTTAATTTTGGTAGAGAATGTTGCAACCTCCGCAGAAATGTTATAAATCGGATCATTATAGCAACTGCCATAGCCAAGTGTGTAGGCGAGAAGTAGCGACATGCGCAAGAAATAGAATACAAGGTTACTACAATAATTTTCCGTTATTTTTGTAGCTTATGCTGTGGAATTATTATAAAACAAATTGCAATATGATGCCATCTTGTGAAGTAATTTTTCATTTCACTAAAACTTTTTCAAATTAAACTAATAAATTTTGCCTCAAAGAATACAAAAATTTTGAATGGAAATTTTGGATGGAATGACCCATATGTATAATACTTCATATTAGAGTATTTCTGACATTATAAATAATCGACTTTAAATAAACGGATTTGAATTTATTGCCATTAGGTGAACTGTAACACGAAATCTGATTTCACCCATTTTCGCACTATAACATAGAAATAGGTGAAGAAGGTTAACGAATTTGGTTGAAATCAGTTAAGCAGACCCAAGAATATGGTTTTCTAAAAGAGGGCGGTGGCACGCCGTTGTTCAATTTTTAACGCGGTTCCTATAAAGTCATCTCATACCATCCCAGAGATAAAATGTAATGTATTTGGATGTTTAGTGTTTGATTTATCGCGCTTTTAGTAGTTTTTAACAGTATCGTTAATAGGGAGTGGGCGGTGTTGTCACCCGATTTCACCCATTTTCACACTGTCGATAGAGGTGCTAAAACATTTGTTCAGTGAATTTTGTTATAAGCGGTTTAGGAGATATGCACAGTTATTAGGGGCGGGGCCACGCCCACTTTTTAAAAGAATTGATACTGCAGATGCCCCTCCCTAATGTCACAATACCAAATAACAGTCTTGTATCTTATTGTGGTTAATTATGGAAATTTATTTATTTTTGATTAATGACGATTTGTGGGCGTGGCAGTGGTCCGATTATGCCATCTGCAATACCAACCTTACGGTACCAAGAAACATGTGTACTAAGTTTCATAAGGATATCTCTTTACTTGTTCTTAGCCGGACGGAGCGCCAGACATCACCCGGATTTAAACTCGTCTCTTCATCCTGATCATTTATATGTATACAATATAACCCTATATCTAACTCGATTGGTTTTAGGTGATACAAACAACGTTAGGTAAACAAAACTATTATACTCTGTAGCAACATGTTGAGAGTAAAAATAATTTTGGGGTGATCTGAGATCGGGAAAAGGAAAACAAGGAGGGACGTGGTTGAATTTTTCAGGATAAAAACGCTTTATCTTGATTTCCGGCAAAACTAGAGTTCTATAGAAAAAGTTATATAACAATGTTGTAGGTAATGAAAATATCTACAACTTTTATATATAAATATTTTTCATATAACCTCAAAAATGTTCTCAAAATAGATTAACCAAGTTTGGTTTTTTATTTTTATCTTGTACAAAGAAATTTTTCTTTCACAAAACTTGGTGTAAACTTAACTTCTTATGTCCCAAACACACCGTATTTTTTTATTATATTTAGATATTTGAAATTCATGAGATTAGTTATATGCTGTCTAGGGCAAGTTTTCACTAGCTTTTATCCATTTTAGGTACAAAGATGCATCGGTAGTATAAAAACACGCTCTCTCAATTTCATTAAGATAACTCACATTCGAACATCTTTGTATTAGGTACAATATATGGGGGAAAGGACAATTTTTGATCCGATTCAACATATTTTTGACACACAGGTATAGTACTATTTTCAATAAAAATTTCGCAATAGGGACTGTGGTCCACATATTAGGTATCTGGGGGCTTGAATACTTTTAGTCTGATTTGGATAATTTTTGGTCAGAAGATGACACACCTTAAAGACACTATGCGTGCAAAGTTTTATCCAGATACATTGATTGGTTTTTGATTTCTATACTGGTGCAATAATCAAATGGAATTTAAAATTGTGTTGTATAGGAAGGAGGCGTGGTTTTCGTCTGGGTTTGCCCATTTTTGCACCGTAATGTAGCTGTCGTATGAACTGAATGATCGGAATCAAGTGCTTCTATGGAACATTTTTTCATTACTTATATATATTTTATATTTATGAAGACTATTAAAGCTTCGGTGCAACTGAAGTTAAAGTTTTTTCTTGTTTTCAACAAATTTGGTTAGATACAATATTTTTCAATTCCAAATATAGTTTTATACATAGTTAAGTTTATCTACCTTAATGAAAGAACTTAGTAGCAACATGAAAAATTATATTAATTTTTTTGAACTTGAAAATTTATACAATTGTTGCTTTTTTATAGTTTGTCATCGAAATATGCTATTTTTTAATCTAAAGGTATATAATAAACTCTTCTTCTCTCATTAATTATAATGCAGACTCGTGAAGGTGCTATTTATCAAGAAGGACGTGAAATAGTAACCATTGGCGAATGGACGGATCGAATCTACCAACACACTCCACAAGAACATGTCATAACGAACGTTGTGTCCGGAAGAAAAATGCGATTACAAAAATACAATTTTCCTGACACAGGTAACTTTAAATTATTATTATGGTTATGTAATTCAAAGAACGATTTGTGTGGCCGTTCGTGGTTTTGTGTGCTTACTTCCTCCGCATACTTAATTGTTTATTAAATACAAACGTGGGGAGTGCTGGCGCAATGATGGGGATATTATGTATATCTCTTATAAGATCTATCTATCGTTCTAATGTATATAATATCACAGGGTCTTGTCTGAAAATGTTATCTTCTGTCGGATCTGACAACCCTTTTAGACCTATAGCTGTCTTATGTGCATTACGCCGCACCTCCACAGGCAATAAAGTTGGTACATTATCATTTTCGAAATGGCGTCGGGTAGGTATATTTGAGCTGATGTAGCAAATATTTGAGCTCTTCAACCGTTTAGAAATTTTATGAGGATGACAAAAATTTTTGAGGGGAATGAAAAAAGTATAAACATAGTTTTTTCGATGTATGTATTTTTTGGAAAAATAAGATTTGATATTTTGTGCTTCAACTCCCACTAATATTTTAAAGGTAAATGTATGAATGTTTGTTACGCTTTCACGCCGAAACGACATTAACGATTATCTTGAAATTTTGCGCACATATTTTAAAGATATTAGAAAGGACATAGGAAAAAAATATTTTTTTTTATGGATTGTGAAATATTAGCTTTGTATCTTAAATGCTAACTTTCGCTAGCTAACAAAGTTTCTGCTGGAAAAACGTTTCTTAGCCCAAAAAAATAGCAGACGAGAGCACAAGTTGAGAGCGTAAAAAGCTGAGAGAACTGCTAGTTTCTGCTAGTGAAATTTCTACTAGCAAAAAATAGCTACTGCCATATGAAGAAACAGCTATCAAAGCAAATGTGTATACAAGCGATATTTGACGCATTTGCTTAGATTTTGTTTATTTTTATTGTTTTGAATTGTGAAGTTCTATTGACTAATTGTCAATGGTTGATATGAAGTGATTGTGAAAAACAAGATTTTGATATTTTCTTGCTTTTTTTTCTTGCTCTTTTTTCGTTATATCGCTCTTTGTGAGAGTAACTTGCAATCTAATCTTCTTCTTTTTGATAGTTAGCAGCTACTAGCAGTTAAGATACTACGTCTGGTTTTGCCCATTCTATTAAATTTTTTTTGGCAGATATGATTATATGTAAAATAGTTTGAAAATTGAAAATAAAAAAAGATATTTTGGCAGATATGATTGTTTGTTGAAAAATGTTTCATTATATTTCTATAAATCAGATAAAATTTAATTTTTTTGTTTAACATGATCAGCATTGAGCTATACTACGATTTGGACAGGAGCATGACAAGGAAGATTAAAACGCGATGGAACTGCAAAAGTCATGTGTAAAGCGGTAGATTAGAAATTCACAAAGTTCCTACTGGCACCCGATAGAAGTGACTGTAGGAACATGATTGGAATACTCACTGGTCACAGTCTGGTTAATTTGCGAACGTTTCTTTTCTTATTTTCTATACATACTGCATGCGTTTTTAAAATTCCAGTGGTCGTCCAATATAACGAATCTTATATTGTACACCTCATTCGTAAAATAGAAAAATTCTTTAAATTTTATGATATTTTTACCTATAATAAAACTATATTTTCAAATAAATTACCAAAAAAAATCACTTTAAAATAATAAGAAAATTAATTTTAACCACAACACACTTTGAAAACTTTGTTTATTTTTTTATAAAACGAGTCTTCAATTCACATCTGTTTTTAAAAATTTCCAATCTTTTTTGTATTGGGATTTCTTGCAAATCCCTTTGTATAAAAGTTTTAACAGTTCAGCATTGTTTGATACTGCCCAGGAGACAAATTTTTCTAACGTCCTTTCGTTCTTTTTAACAATACTTGTGGGATATATTGATCGAAATAACATTTTATAAAGATGAAAGTATTCACCGACATAGGTTACGGGTATCAATTTGTTTCTGAAAGGTCTTGGGTTCTAAGATTTTCCATTTACTAAAAAAAAAACTTGCTTACCAAAAGCCAGATTTTATTCCAAAAGAAGAAAATAAAAAATTTCACAGGAAGTAGGACTTCCAGCACTAAATGCCTAAGAAAAGTGTGAAAATTAAAGGCAATAAATAGAAGTATAAATCCTGAAACAACGGACAATACTTCAAGAAATGAATCACCAGCAGATTCTGAAAAAACGAACAGCGGCGAATTTATGAAGATTCACAACAGATTATAAAACAACGGAATTGAATTCTACACAAGTTAACAGGTCCTCAAACATTGGACAGTTAATTAAGACATTAAGAAGAAACCAAAATGGAACAATAAATGGGCCAACTACATGCTCAGATTGCTGCTTTAATGGGAACCATCCAGAGTCAAATGCAGGAATTCTCTCAACGGCTAGCATCAGTGGAACAGCGAAACATTCCACAGCCAGCACCTATAGTCAACCATGAAGACTTCAAGCTCAATATACTTATTAGGAATTGTTCAAATCATTACCAAAATTATACGGTAATCAAGCACAGTATAGATCATGAAGGTCACAAGTGTGGACTTTCATGGAAGCAATAAAAAAACACAGTCATCAATCGAGGTACTACAGTGTCTTAGGAATTATGAGAACTAAAATTACCAGCAGCTGATATCCTTTCAAACCACAACAAAAAAATTAATTTTTATTCAATCATGAACCGATTGGCTTACACCTTTGCTGAACAACGTCCATTATACGTTTTACTGGACGAAATGAAAAAAAAATCAGACAAGGAAGGAAAACACTAGCAGAATAACATAGCGAAGTGTCCAAAGCACTTAATCTGGCACTTTCCAAAATTGCCGGACAAGGCGACCAAAAAAATATTGCTACGCCAACCAAGAAACAGTCAGGACGTTTATCCTTGGACTGAACTCAATATATACAAGCGAAACTCGCTAGAGTAATAATCCAAACAACTTGGTACGACAATCAAGGTTGTAATCCTCGCTTCAACCAAAGCCAGCCAACACAAGTTCACTCACATAGAGAGCATAGACATCACCATAAAGACGAAATGTCAGGTTACAAAGAAATGACAAACCTAGAAATTTTAATCAACCGCAACAACAACATCCTGCGAACAATTCAAGACAGTATGTACATACAACAAGGAATAGTAATGGAGTAAATGACCCACATTTTGGAGCAATTTACGAAACTGGTGTTAAAATTGAAGCGTTTGAAGATGACGATGAAGTTGAAGTTATCGAACACATTTTAGAAGAAGAAGATGAAGCATAAGAAGAATATTATGTAAACGATGGAATGAAGAAGCGTCTGTACTAGTAAGAAAAAACTACTCAGCTCTTCCAAAGTTCACAATAAACACACAAAAGCTGATAAATTGATGATTATATGTCCGATCGTATCCATTGCTCTAAAAGATTTCATGCTAATAGCTTTGGAGTTTAAAGATAACGAGCGTAAATTGAGAAAGAAAATTTCAAGCAGCAAAAATAAAGTACGACTACCGACTGCTTATGCTGTCATAGATGCAACACTGGACTCTGATCCCCCCGATAAATAACCAAATGACGATATGGAACTCTCCGACGATGGTGGTATAACAGCAGATGATGATTCTGGTAACACAACCCAAAAGAAATGTGCTCGACATGGTGCTGATGGTAGACGAGGTAGAAGCAAATCAACGGCCGCTGCAACAATGGCACACCACCACCAAAACACCTTAAACAAAGATCAAAACAATCTTATGTTTCAGTAAACAAAATTTTTCAAAACCTTATCTCTGAATGAACAGAACGTATCAAAACATTACACAAAATCATCAAAATAACCATATCTTAGAACAAAGGAAATGTATCTAAACAAACAATATGCTATATGTTTCGCATTCTAATACAAATTATAAATATAATATATGTATACATAACACAAAATATCACATAATTATGTACTTATGTGTATACATGAATATAAGTATAACATATTATTTGAAATAAATTTGACCAGTATAGTGCTGTAATCAAAGCAATATGACCTTATCTCGACTACAAATGCACTGCAAAAAAATTAAATATATCTTCAAAAATATAGAAGTGATATAGGTTTTGAATAAATGTTGGTACAGGCAAAAGAATTGTCAGAAGAAATAAACGTACCATCAACATTCGAATCAGAAGCGGGAGCTACAAAACTATCGATAGTCGGACCACTCGATAGTTTTAAAAAATACTAGTAATACTATCGATAGTTTTTCCCCTTGATATCTACTTCTCGTTGGTTTAAATTAATGGCTTTTTACACTTCATTTCTATGAAATAATCCTTGGATTTATTTATAAAACAAAACTTAAACAATAAATATAAAAATATAAAAAACTTAATATAGTTACATATTGTAACGGATTGCTCGATTGATGGTCTACCTTGTAATTAATTCTTGAGTTCGATCACTGGATTGCTAAATAAAAGTCCTAGTTTAATGGCTACACACTTAAGTATCTTTATTTTTAATCCAAACAACTTAACGTTATGCTAATCATTATCCGGGATTACAACTTCTTACTATGTCTCAATTTCTCTTTATACGGCACCTCTCTAACTACAACTGTGCTGCACAATCCGGCAGCCCTTATATAGTAGATCTTTAACAAAACTTCACCACTCGGAATTCGCTGCCTAGTTGATTCTGGCAATTTATCGACGATTCGATTTTATTCTATCATCCATGTTCGTCACAATATGGGTGCGTTCGAGCTACGTAATAATTGCAGCAGTACAGCTACTGTGTTGCATTTTTGCTGATACTCTGCTGATGAGCAGACAAAAATTTAGTGTTGCCGATTATTTGCATGAATTGCGGTCAAAAAGTGACAGTAGAACGTGATAGCAAGTGTTGCCAAAAATTCACGCAGATCTATATGCGGTGCCTGTTGATTCTGCGAACAGCACCATCGAATCATTTACTCGAAATCGAACAGTTTGGGCCTAGTGACTTCCATAATAATTGACCATTTTCAACGTAACATTATATTGATAATAACAATGGATATTGCAACGCATCGTATGATTTGTGCAATTCTGACACGTTGTAATTCATAATTATTTCTGCGATGAAGCACAATGTTACAGGGATTGAATTCGTCACCAACACTTACTATGGCCACTTCATCAATAGTTGATGCATTTAATCGCCCAGACTGTTGACCGACAGGCGTTCTATAAGCTCTAATGACAATTTTGTGATTATCTGATGGAATTCTTTCCCAAGTCAGTTTGAACAAATTCGCCAATTGATTCTCTTCGTGCAATAAATTCTGCAGTCTGACAACGATTTCTTCTTATGTTTTGGCCTATTTCACAACGCCGATCAACTTCCGCATTTGTAGTACCAATAAAATAAATTTGCAGTAATTAATAATCAGCATCAGGATTTGCATGCAATAAACCTTCACGATGATAAATTTGTCCGTGAATCTGTTCGTCAGTTAAAAAATGAGTTATCATCGAATCATAACTGCAAGTCATTATTTCATACCTTGAAAGTTGGCATGAAATTTTCATGTACAATATGACTCGCTCCAAAAGAAGTCATTTGAAATAAAGAATTGTATGTAAAATTCAAGCTTAGCAAACATTCCAGAAAATGCTTAATTCTGGTGTATCTGATGACGTAAACCAGTTACTGTTACTGTGCTTTACTACTGGCTACAATTTTTGCCCTCCTGTATTTTTTACTAATATCATATTTTTTCGGCGGCATTTTCTTCTAAAATAAAAAAAGCTTATTTTTTCTGAATGACATGGCAAAAAAACAAAACGCTTCTTCAATACACTCAATTGAATTTTCACACTCACGATTTAATTTCACTGCAACGCGAACCAACAGAACAAATTTTTTTATTTTGCTATGTACGACCCCTACAAGAAACTGGTCATGGGTTATCATTATACTCACATTTGTTATGTCAGTACTGACGGTCAATTTACCCTTCAATTGACCGTCACTGTTATTGTTAAAAAGAGACCCCTACCATTTATATTGCTTACTATAGCTTGACATATGAATGAAAAGCTGCATTCTTTAGTACTGTCACCATTGACAGTCAAACGAACAGTAACTGTCAATGTTTACGATTTTTCCAAAAGCAAATTTTGTATACATCTCTTTTCGACACACATTTCCAAAAGAGTTTCGGGAAATTTTGAAATACCTACTCTTAATAACTCTTTTTGTGATAAAAAAATATAAATAAATAACGAAAGAGTTTTGAAATATAATATACGTAAGTTATTATTAACTTTCAAATAAAATTATATTTTTAGTTAATTTTAATTTTTATTTAGGCATTGTTAAATTCCGAAATATCCATGAACTGGAGAAACACGTACAGCATTATATTTTAATTATATTTTTCTTGCACTACTTTTTTCACTGGTTCTGCTTTATGCTATTATAACGCACATACAAAAATGTATCGTTCACTTGTATGAGTATATTTCTGCTACTGTTCCCAAATTTTATTTTTATTTTTTTCAAAATCCATCTCTAGACCAATAGCAACTCATTGCAAAAGGAAGTTTGAAAAAATCTCCAACCGTGTAGATGTCCATCGGTCATAAACGAAAAGAAAAACGCTACTTTTTTATATATTATATATATATAGATAAATATTTAATTCTTTTGTTATAATTGTTGGAATTAAATAAAAAAAAAAAATTTACAAACAAAAGTAAAATTGTATGAAATTCATTGAACGAAGGCGACAATACACACTTTTACTTCTAACTTCGTTGACTTTGGATATCAATTTGGATATCTCATTGCATAAGTGAACGAGTTTCAAGGGAAATAAATACAAAAGATCAAAATCCGATGAACTGAGTTCTATTAGTTTTAAATATTATTTTAATAGTTAGTTATTAACTCTTTTAATTACATAACAAACTGTTAGTATAAATCTATATTATAATGTGAACATAATATTTAGTAATAAAGCCAATACCATAAATTAATTAAATAAAATTTCACATAATAAAATGACCATTGAGCTCAAGTTATTTTCGGATTCATTACAGTAACGTATGCAATGTCTAAAAAACACGAATGTGATATCCGTGATTTACATGTATACAATCTAAATTATTTTGCAGTTATTTGGAATCCATGGATAGATCAAGCAAGAGAAATGAGCGATTTTGGGGATGATGAATTTCCCAATATGCTGTGCGTGGAGTCGGGTCATGTGTCATCGCCGGTTATTTTACTACCAGGTACCGCATTTGAAGCCAGCCAAATACTGCAGGTTTGTTTTGCATAAACATTTTTAAACTTTAAGAATAAGTAACTACATACCTATCTGTATATTTACCTTATTCACTAATTGTATAAACAATAACCAAAAGGGATTTAAATACTGAAAGTGTGAATTAGATGGCTAGCTATTTCAGCTACTGATATATATACGCCGTAATCTATTTGATGATTGCAGTTACTTGGCATTGATTAAAATTTGTTTAAAAATGTAGACTATTTGAATAAGCTTTGATTTTTCATAGAAAGTCGAAAACTATTATCTAAACAACTACTACTATCTCTCCTGCTTCATGCGTTAGGTAAAGTTAGGAAATCGTGGATGGATGACAATCAATTGTTTCATCTTATTAACTTATATTGAAGGTCATAGACTTCCTTAGTTTTATTACTATATTTTACTTCGCGTTAACGCTAAATTTAATATAATATAATGAGTTGATGTGAAAACGCCAACAAGTGGATCGCAATTTATAGTATTAGGCATGTATGGTTTAGATCAATATCTAGACCAATTTCGTGTATATTCGGCGGTAAACCACATAATTTTTAAGAAAACTTGTTCATTTATTTTATTAAAGTATGCCACATTTTGTCAGGTGAGCTATTTTGAGACAGATAAAGGGATGGGCAGATTGAATTAATTTTTACATTGTAGAAGGAAGTGACTCAATGTTCAGTAGAGGTTATTTGTGTTGCGTTGGAATCGTTCTTTAAGAGTTTGTCAGCCCAGTTGTCAGCAGCGAAAGAGTTGGACCTGCGTATGGCAACGCAGGTGTCCTCACAGTTGGATAAGGAGGAAGCGTGTGAACCAGGGTCCTCACAGTATGAAGAGCAAGAAGCTTGTATACCAGCCTCACAGGTGGAAGAGCAGGATAAAATTCAACCTGAAGCGGATGACTCTTTGCAAGAAGGTCCAGATTTGGATGGTGTAGTGCATGATGTGGAGTTGAACCAACGTACAACGAGTGGAGAAATAAATTCAGAAAGTTCAGTCGCAAAAGCATATTGGGCAGAGCAGATCAGTTTAAAGTTGATGTGTGGCTGCTTGCATGGAGTATGGAAAAGCGAAAATGGGCAAACCTCCCGAGTACTTATAGTTGTTCCAAAGGTTAGAATTCCTGGAGTTCATAACGTACAGTACAAAGGTCAAAGAGAAGGGTATCTTGGAGAAATTGAAGCAAAGTTTTTTCTGGTTGAATCAGTTATGGAGAGGATTGCGAAATATGAGGAGTCATGGCCAGATGAAACAGTGCAATTCGGATCCGCTAGTTGAGCAAATAGGAGTGGATGAAGACGGTTTATTTCCCACGAATAAATTTGAAAATAGTCAAGATTTTGTAGTCAAGGACCATTTCAACGAAATTTCAAAATTATACGCAATTGCTAATCAAGAGGCTGAACCAGTGTCGGACGCATTCATTAACAAGTGGATAACGAGATTCGGTGTTCCAATGAATTTACGTTCTGATCAAGAATAGAATCTCGAGTCAGCTTTAAGTCAAGGGATGTATCAGAAACTAGGTATCCGCAAAACGGATGGAATTAACTCCAAGAAGAGAACGACTACCAGAATGTTCTAGAGGCGAAGTTTTATTAAAGATGTACTATATAAGGACTGCCAGATTGTGCAGCACACACAGTTCTAGTTAGAGTGTTGTGTTAAGAACAATTGAGACATAAGCAGGAAGTGAGCAATAATTGTTGAGTGAACGAGCAATAATTGTTAAGTTCTTGAAATTAGAAATAAAGATAAGTGTATAGCCATTAAATTGGGGCTTTTATTTAACTATCCAGTGATAGAACTCAAGAGTGAGCTACAAGGTAGACGATTTATTTAGAAATCCGTTACAATATCATAACAAACCGTGTGATACAAAGTCATACAAATATATATCTTTTTATATGGCGCTTAGTGCCGTGTGGATTTATTTTGAAAAAGTAAATTTTGGATCTAATGTTCAGTGTAAATGTGCGAAGCACATCTTAATTTATTTAAATTTTAATTTATTAAGTTTTTTTAACCCAAATCCGTAATCCGTTCTTGGCATTGCGATTTTATAAATAAATGTATGAACTAAAAAAATTATTAATATTTTAAATTAGAATCGTTTAAAAGCGAAAGAATTGATTCTTGTGCTCAACTAATCGATTCTAAGATCAAAAAATTTATATATATTTCCATCACAACTTACATCACTACATGTCTAATACTGAACAATAGTGTAACGGATTTCTCGATAAATCGTCTACCTTGTAACTCACACTTGAGTTTTATCACTGGATTGTTAAATAAAAGTCCGAATTTAATGGCTATACGAGGTGTGTTCAAAGGAAAAGGTGAATTTTGAATTTTCGCGAGCTGTGTACATTTAATTATTGATATATTGTTTTTGTTTTTTTGTTATAATCGTACACTTATGTTTGTCATGTGCTTGCATTACTAGCCAATTTTGATTAGTTTGTTTTTGACAACAGAAAAGGTTAGTCATATTTTTGTGTACTCTTCGATATTTGACTCTTGAAAGAAATGGATCAAAGAATATGCATTAAATTGTGCGTTAAAAATGGAATGGCGCTTTACAGAAGGCCGAGAAGATGTTGATGACAATGAGCAACTTGGAGGTGCAACCACATCAACAAGCGAAGAAAACTTCGAAACAGTGAAAAAATTTGTTCTTGAAAATCGTCGAGTCACTATTAGGGAAGTTGCAGAAGATGTCAATCGGATCATGTCATTCAATGTCTCTCGATTGTTTTGGGCATGAAATGTGTGACAGCAAAGTTTGCTCCAAAATTGCTAAATGCACCAGCTCACACATCAATGCTTATTCGTGATTTTTTGCCCAAAAACAAAACCGTAATCATGCCTCAACCACCGTATTCACCAGATTTGGCTCCCTGCGACTTTTTCATATTCCCAAAACTGAAGAAACCAATGAAAGGAAAGCGTTTTGCCACAATTGATGAGATCAAGTCAGAATCGAAGAAAGAGCTGATGGCCATACCGAAAAGCGCATTTCAGTAGTGCTTCGAGGATTGAAAAAAGCGTTGGCACAGGTATATTATATCCGAGGGGGATTACTTTGAAGGGGACAAAATAGATATTACTGAATAAATAAGTAATTTTTAAAAAAATTCAAAATTCACCTTTTCTTTTGATCACACCTCGTACACTTATCTTTATTTCTAATTCCACCAACTTAACACTTATTACTCGTTACTAGAGTTTACAACTTATTGCTTATAGCTCAATTGCTCTTTATACGGAAACACTCTAATTAGAATTGTGTTTGCTGCACAACCCGGTAGCCCTTACATAGTAGATTTTAACAAAAGTTCGCTACTAGAACATTCTGGCAACTACGAATTCGCTGTCTAGTTGCTTCTGGCAGTTTATCATCGATTCTGATTTGTTTTGGTATTTGTGTTCGCCACACAGCCCTCCACCTAAGTCTGATCGTCCCGATTAGACATATTTGCGGTACAAAATGTTGCAAGCCGTTCCAGATGAACCACCTTCATTTTATTCCTTGGTTTCCAATGGTCTGTATACGATACATAACATCGTTGAGTCGTTTAATAACCTGGTACGGTCTTTCCCAATTGTACTGTAATTTGGGAGACAACCCTTTCTTTCGTTGTTGGTTATATAACAATACCCAATCGCCTTCAATAAAACTCTCAGAGTTTATTGCCTTGTATTTTGCTTTTATTTTATCGCTCATAATTTTGGTGCGCTGTCCCATGTGTATCCCTCATCTCATCTTCTAGGATGATGTTGACTTCCTTAGCATTCCTTCCTCCGTTGGCGTTAATTCCAAATTTTAAATCAATCGGTAGTCGAAGATCATTACCAAAAATTACCCTTGCTGGAGTTTGCCCCATTGTTTCTTGTACAGCAGACCGATAAGCCATCAGGAACAAGGATATATGGGTATCCCAATCTTTTTGATACTTGTCCATAACTTTTCTCAAATATTCTTTCAAAGTTCGATTGAATTTCTCCACCATGCCATCGGACTGCGGATGTATTGCAGTTATACGGGTTTTCCGGATACCCAGTTTCTGGCATATCTCCTGTATTAGAGCTGATTCAAAATTTTTCCCTTGGCCAGAATGTAATTCTATTGGAACACCATATCTCTATACCCAACTGTTGATGAATACATTCGCTGTTCCTGCCTCTTGGTTAGGATTTGCGTATACCTATGGCCATTTGCTGAAATAGTCCATGAATACCAAAACATATTTATTTCCTAATTTACTGATAGGAAATGGACCAGCTACATTCATGGCAACTCGCTCAAACGGCGCACCTGAATTGCTGCTTCATCTGACCATGACTCCGGCACCTCGGCCCTTTAGCAGCAAAGCACTCGACACAATTGGCGATTCACTCCGTAACTGATTGATGACAACCAACCCAATAAAATCTTTGTTTTAATTTCTCCAAAGTTCTAGTGATACCCATGTGTCCTTCACTTGGACCGTTGTGCAGCTCGTTGACAACTTTGGGAATTCTTACCTTCGGAACAATCATCACAGTTCGGGAACTTTGGCCATCTTCGCTTTCCCATACGCGATGCAAGCAGTCAGACACTAACTTTAAACTATTCCATTGGGCCCAATGAGCCCTTGCGACTGGGCTTTCTGCAGGCATTTCTTCTCTGGATCTTCTTGCTGTTATAGTCATTAATCGGACATCTATAATGTCTTCTTTGGCCTCAGCTTAAAAGCAATGTCTACATTCTAAATTACAGGGACGAAGGGACATGGCATCAGCATTTCCATGACTACTACCTTTACGATGTTCTACAGAGAAGTCGTAACTTTGGAGTCTCTTACCCCATTGTGCCAACTATCCTTCTGGGTTCCTGAATTGTAGAAGCCATTTTAATGCAGCATGATCTGTCATCCTCACCCGAAATCGCTGGCCACAAAGGTTTTTATGAAAATACTTGATGCTCTTCACCAACGCCAGTAATTCTCTCCTCTCCGAGTAACACAATAATTTCTCTCTGGCCTGCTTATGGTCTGGCTGTAATACGCGAGCACTTTCTCATGTCCATCAATGACTTGTGATAGAACGCCTCCTACTGCAAATCCACTAGCATCCGTATCCAAAATAAATGCTGATCCTGGGACCGGGTATGCTAACATTGGCCCAGTACTTAACCGTTTCTTCAGAATTTGGAAAGCCACTTCCTGTTCTTTATTCCATTCAAAAACTCTGTTCTTTTTCGTGAGTTCATGGAGGCTACTAGCTACGCTGGCAAAATTTGGAACGAATCAAATACGTCCATAATAAGAACACAGTCCAAGGAAACTCCGCAATATATGTAAATTTTAAGAAGTGGGCCAATTACTGCCTCTATCTTTTCATTAGTTGTGCAAATGCCCTCCGTTGTCACTTTGTGTCCTAAGTAGCTTACTTCCTTTTTAAAAAGGGAACACTTCTTTGGACTCAGCTCTAGACCAGCGCTAGCTATCCGTTGGAAAACCTCTTCCAAGTTCTTAAGGTGTTCATCGAAGCTTTTACCCAACACGATGATATCGTCGAAGTATACCAAACAGGTCTTCCAGTGTAATCCTTTTAACACACATACATAATCCAAAGGGCATTACTGTAAATTGCCATAGACCATCTCCAACGCTGAAAGCCGTCTTTTCTTTGTCTTCTTTATTTACCTCCACTTGCCAAAAACCACTTTTCAAATCAAGTGTTGAGAATCATTTTGTGCCTGATTACGAGTCCAACGTATCGTAATCCACAAGGCATTACGGTAAATTGCCATTGACCATCTCAAACGCCTAGAGCCTTCTTTTCTTTGTTTTCTTCGTTTACCTCCACTGTGATAACGAGTCCAGCGTGTCGTCGATTCTAGGTAGTGGATAACTGTCTTTCTTCGTTACATCATTCAACCTTTTATAGTGCACATAGAATCTCATGTTGCCATCTTTCTTCTTCACAAGTACTTCAGGTGAGCTCTATGGACTCTCTGATGGTTCGACTATGCCGCTTTTGCTCATTTCACGTATGGTCTGGCTTACAACTCGGATTGGTTTTGCATCACCTGTGTTAATAAAATGTTTCACAACTATGGTTCTTCAGGGTTTGACGCTGTCTATATCAAATATAGATGAGTATCTGGGAAGAAATTGTTTAGCCATATATTGATGGTTTGCCTCAAGTTTCTCGGTCCATTCGTTTATTTCGCTCGATATGTCGTTTTCGTCCATGGAATCTTCCTCAAGACCTATTTCGCAATTTATCACGGCCTCAATCTCTTGACACTGCCCTAATATAGCTCCTTTGGAGTGTTTGATTAGTAACTTGCACTCATTACTTCAAATCAATTTTGATTCCTTGATTCGCTAGAAAGTCTACTCCAATTATGACTTTGTCGACGATCTCTGCCACTATAAAATTGTGTAACACGGCTGCCTCTCCAATTACGATCTCGCACGTTGCTTTTCCGAGAACTTGGATTTCTTCTCCAGTTACAGTACGCAACTTTGCACTAGCTAATGATCTCACTTCTTTATCAAACAGATCAGATCGAATTATGGAATGTGATGCGCCCGTATCCACAGTGAGTATGCGCTTTTTTACTTGTATTCCTGCTTATTTGTGAAATGGAGATTACAGGGCATATGCTTGCGCGAGCCAGCCCGTGCCGTTTTCGGATGGCTCGCTTTAGTTTAACGACTGATTGGGTTTGACATTTGCTTGATCTTCCTCAACTTTGCGTTTACGTCCAACTGAATTATTAGACTGGTTACAGTTGCGTGCGATATGGCCACTTTTCCGCAGTTGAAGCATTTAACCACACCATCATTTTTCTTACGCGCTTCTGTAGGTTTTTCCAGTGCTTCATGCATGCTAAGCAGAGATGCCGTTTCCTGTATGTCATCTCGTATTCCATTGACGAAGTTCAGAATTTTCGTGTCCTCGATGTATTCCACGGATTTATGTGCATAAGCTAAGTGAGCTATCCTCTCAATATCTGTAGAAAACTCCTGCAGACTCTTTGGCTTTCTGGCGGCGATTTCGGAACTCCATATGGAAGATCTGCTTCCTGTGCTCACTACCATACCGTATTTCTAATGCACCCATTAACGTTTCATAACTACTTGCCTCGCAGTTTGGAATACTCTGTAATATCTCCGCTGCAGATCCTTTTAATGCGACGAACAATGCAGCTACTTTATCTTCAGCGCTCCAATTATTTGAAGATGGCGTCTTTTCGAAGTGAAGCTTAAAAACATGTGGAACAGTGCCATCAAAGGATGGAGCTACCTCGAGCGCGCAACTTCTCAAAGATGTATATCCAAAACTATTGCTCGGATCCCCTTGAGAATTTAGGGCAATATTCTAGAGATGTTATAGAACTAAACAAGACAATAAAAAAATATTTTTTTTAAGTCAAAAACCTCCGGTAGCCCCTTAAATCACAGTTCACTGTAATTTATGATATTAGAACATTTTGAATATAAATTTAAAGACACAACCTTTATCATAATCTTAACAACAAATGCAAGTTTATTTATATTATATTGTATTGTTAAGTTGTTATTTTACAATTGTAATTTTAAATTATTAATTGAAATGCTGTTTCATTTGATGCAATTAGATATTCAAATGTCCTAAAATAACTCAAGAAGAAATTGAATTAGCAAAGAAAAATAAACAAGTCAGGGGTGTTGGCTTTTGGAAATGCTTCGATTTAGAAATCCAGTCATAAAGTACGATTAAAAAAATACTAGAATAAATAATATTTATTTGCACGTTTTATTTCTAGATCATAATCGAGGGAAATGTCAATAGAAAAAGCAAACGAAATCGCTAACGTTTAAAGAATCGGAACCCGCAGAGGTAAACCGATTTATAAAAGCCAAAATTACATAATTATTAGACGTTCAGATGAAAACTAAGCTGGAGAAGGAGAAAGAGATCGTCAATTTACTCAACAGCAAAATAAAGCACTCCATTAAATCAAAATAAATTTGGAAATTATATATATATGTATTTATATAATGTAGACGTGATTGAAAATTACAAATGTGAACTGAATTAAATTAAATGTTCTAATTTTGACTTAAGTAATTAAAAATTTTTCAACAAAAATATATAATGACTCAAATTATATAAAGGAACTTTGGTGTTATATTACGAAATTTTCACAAAGTTTTGCAGACATTGTTAGTTCAAAATAAAAGGTGCTAAGTCAGTGCGTTCAATTATATAATTAATTAGTTCAACTCAACTATCTGGAAGGTTCTAAAGAAATGTATTACTGATCTCTGCATGTATTATTATGATAAGTATGGTCATAATATATACAAAGCAAAAAGAAATCAAGAGAAATTATTTGAAATTTGTTGAAATAAAGCAAAGTTTGCCAATGGCTTCTAATATATGTAACTTATAAAAAGGTGTTTATATGTATATGTTTCTAGTTTAATATGCAAAGATAATTAACACCAAAAAACTCTATACATATAAAGGCCCGAGGCATACTTCTGTAAAAATATTTTTAAATTATTTTTTTATTTAAATTTTTAACTGAAGGTTACACATTCAGTAATATTCAATGATTTGTCACTAATACTTGTACGCATAGCATAATATAAAATGTACCAACTACTTAACGTAAACACATATTTCGCAACTCTCATATAATTAATGTTCTTAACTCATGTTAGTCATCTTTTATTCGCTAGGCGTTAGAGAGACTGACAGCATTTAAAGTTCAATTGTGTCTTAAGATGCCACTTCCATAACGGCTACTATTTATCTAAAATACCACTATTTTCAATATATTAATCTAAAAATTTTACATATGTAAACGTTTATAATACATATGTACATACATCTCACTATTTACCATTCCATCTTCATGTACAGTGTATCATAACGGTTGCTAAATTTTCTTAAAAAAGTCTCAATTGAATCGATACCAATTTATTATTTAATTGTGGTTTTGTTTTGTTAATTGACATTTGTGTCCTACCGTTGTTACTCTACTTTTTATTTTCACAAAAGCTCGTCTCTCTGTATGGGTAATATTCCGAACAAGATTTTCCTGTTGTCGTTGAAGCTTTTAGTATTTCATTGTGTCTGCGCATATAAATTTTAATTAATTTGTTAATGAATTTTTAAATATTATTAACCATTTAAATACTATATAATCATTAACATTTAACTATTGTTAACTTAAAAAATGAAAGCCCTGCAATATCAAGATATTTCAAATTATGTAATTCAAAAAGTATATTTTGTATTTGAGAATGCATTAATCTTCCAGTTTATTTATATATATGAATATTTTTTTTTTTAAACTAAAACTAAGATTTTGTAACCACAATAATTGAATAAGTATTGACTTAAACAAAAATGGTGCTCAAATAAATTTATGAATAAGTCTAACTTTATACATTTTATATGAATGTTTTGTAAACATGTATTTTGTATATGCTCAGTTAAAACGTTACAGATTATAGTATACATATACGTATGTAAGAGAACATATGAATCATTGTGATAATGTGTATTACATATAATTTTGTTTTACAGGTATGTTTTGTACATAATAAAAATGATATCCATGTTAAATAATCAACATTTCAACAAATGAATATATACAGTAGCGAGCAAAGCCGTTCTGATGTTCATCACTTTTGCATTTTACAATAAATATTTTTAAACAATTTTATGATAACTCAAATTAGATTTATTCTTTATTGTGTAATAAACTAGCAACGTACAAAAGAAAAATACGACAAAAACTAAAACAAACTCATTCAGGGTTGTTGTGGAATCCAATGCAGATTTGCGTAGTTGTCAGAATTGCAAACCAATACTGATTTTCAATGGTGTCACAGAATCAATATTCGAATCAGCTCACGATACATTAGATCGTAACAATAACATAAATTAATTTCTGAGCTTACATTTCAAATCTGTCAGCGACTATCTCTTGCTTTGTTTCTGATAACCGTGACACCCAAAACTGCTACAATTTCTGTTTAGAACGTTAGACCAATAATTACTGAATTTATGACACCTACTAAATTTATTTAATCGGTTTCAATTCTCATTCCGACAACTATCATATTCTACAACGCCCCTGATTCAGTACAGTTTTGCTGGTAAAAAGTAGATGGCTTTAATTACATTATTTAATAATATTTGGTCCAAGAACTTTTGTGTTTACTTACATTTCTAGACGTCTCGGCATAATTTCAATTAAATTTGCTATTATTTACTTCGACATGCTTCTTCATTCGATTTGTACTCTGCTGTATAAAGCGCACGGATCGCGCTACAAAAACAAACCATAAAAACTTTGTAATTAATCAATGCATTACAAGTACATTAATTTTTTTTATTGTATAGCACAGTTTATTTTATTTTATATATTTATTTAGTTTTTAATTTAAATTATGGACAGTAAATGACCTCCATGCTCAGACACGCATATCTGACACCTAATTAGAAAATTATTCATTGCGGCCTGAAGCGTTGAAGTCGGAATTGCCTCAGTTATCGATTTAATAGACTGCTTCAATTCAGTCAGAATTCTGGGTTTTTTTTTTGTACACCTCTTGCTTATCATAACCCCATAAAAAAAGTATGTTGCAGTCGGGTCAGGTAACCTGATGGGTGAACGGAAAGTGGAGTTTCTTGATATTAATTTGTTTTCAAAGCTCCGCAGTAAACGGTCTGGCTATGTGTGCAGTTGCTCCATCTTACTGAAACCGAGCATTATTGAAAGATATACGTCTTCGGCGCAGTTCTAGGTAAAAAAAACTCATTCAATATATTTAAATAACGGTGCCCAGTTACTGTTACAACGTTTTTTTCAAAGAAGTATGGCCCGACTCACTCAATATACTGCAAATTTGCTTGTTTACATTTCCGTATATATCAAAATGGGCCTCATCAGACATTAACAGGCAATTTATCAAGTTATTGTCTTCTTCGGTCATTTAAATAATTTTTTGGCAAAATTCTATGCGAATAGGCACATCTAGAGGGTTTAACCGGCTTGTTATTTGAACTTCGTACGGAAACAGGTTTAATTCATCATAAATTATCTGTTGTAATGGCCGTCTGCTAACTCCAAGTTGCGAGTCGAAACTCTTGGATTTGCCTTACGATTGCAAATGACTGATTTTCGTTTCATCCGACCAGATAACTTTTTTTCAATGTTCCACGAGCCAGTTTTTATTTTCCTTACAAAACTTTAGACGCACCTTTATATTTTGATTATATAGAGCAGATTTCTTCTGTTTAATGTCGCTCACAAAACCAATTTTTTCATGTTCTCTCCGGTCCATTCGCTGACATTTTTATATATGTCGATTGTAGCTTCCTTCGGAGTTCTATTATCCGCTTTAGTGAATTTTGTACTATTTGACTGACATCAGTGTTTATTAACAATCGTGGGCGCCCTCTTATGTTCAGGTAAGTAACTATATTCTATCATTTTCTTACAGCCACAACAGAGATCAAAGCTAATTTTAAATGACTTGCAGTTTCACGGGTCGGAAGGCCACGTTTTGTTAAAGAAACAAGCCTCCGATAAAACTTTTCGCATTTTGTAAAATAAGTATTGATAACTTAATATCGTATGTTTATGTAAACGAAAATCAAGTAAAAATGTCAGAAAACCCACGGTATCAAATCAAATGCAAAGCATACTTATTTCAAATTGACTGCAACGATCAAAATAGTACTGAATGAATGTTTTACATTTGGTAGGGCTATTATTTCAATTAAGTTATAATTTTGTTGCACACATTAAGAACTAACACCTCAAATTTGGAAGCACTTAAATGCAAAAGTGGCGAACGTGCGAACGGTTTAACTCGTTACCGTATACCATATTATGCACTATAAATAACACATTCCTATATACCCATATTTGCATATGTATTCATAAGTAAATTTTTGTAATATAAATATTAAAAATAAAATATCAATACAAGTATACGATTTTGTAACCAGCTATACCGAGAATCAAAAATTTAATATTCATATACTCTTGTATATATAGCTGTCTTCGATTCGCCAAGCGCTACTCTACAGTGAATCGTATAAACTATACCAGATGCTCAAACAAACGGGCAGCACTTGTGGCGTAACCCTGTGCTAACATGTCTTCTAATGCATGTGCAATCGTGTTGATTCTTTCTTAGGGGAAAAATACTTTTTCCGAGGTAAAAATCGTTACTGTTACCATTTTTTTTGGTTTTCGATAAATCATTACAATTGATTTTAAGTCTTATGTTTTAAAAATACAAGAAAAAGAAATAATTTGTGATATCATTTGTCATTTGAACCATTTACAGTAATAAAAGTGAGCTAAAATATGCAAAACAAAACTTGGCAGCATTGAAGATAGAAGTTATGGGTGCGTACGAGCTACGTAATAATTGCAGCAGTACAGCAACTGTGTTGCATATTTGCTGATACTCTACTGATGTGCAGACAAAAATTTAGTGTTGCCGATTATTTGCATAAATTGCGTTGCAAGTGTTGTCAGAAATTCACGCAGAACGTGATACTTTGACAAACTTGCAACATTGCTGTCGTGATTGCCATCTCGAACGCACCTTATACCACTTAAATGAGGTATCCGCATACTTATACCATTCATACGCTTGAACTCTATAAGTTTTTTTTTGCTTTCATATGTAAATTTTTTGTCAAGAAAGCTGAGGAATGACCAATCGAAGACAGCTTATGTATGTTTCTAGCCGTAGTTCATAACAACAAAGATCCCAACACCGTCGAATTCAGCAAGTAATTTTTATGATAAAATGGGTGAGAGATGAACAGGCATACATACATATATATGTACAAGTATATGAATAAAAAATTATAATTTACAATTAAATAAATAACGTATAAAAGATAAGCATAATTGTTTTTTATTCTGCAACGTATTATAGATTAAAAAAAATTAACAGATCTATGTATGTATAGTGTACGGCTATTGAGTTTACTAGAAAACGTAAATAATTCTGAGCTTACATTTTTGAGAAGCGCTGCTTGAAATTTTTAGCAGTACTGCTCATTAAAAGACTTTGTAAAGTCTTAAAAAATCGCAACAAAAAAGTATGAAGCGAAGACAAAATATTGAAAATAAGTTTCATAAAGTTATTCTGTTGGTGTACACATTTTTTTAAAGATGTTCAGTGTGTTGTTTTGTATTGCAATTTGAACTAAAGCTCGCAAAATACTTGAGGCAACTTGAGCAACTGCCTGATTTTTACATTTCTGTATAAAAAAGGCGACTGGTGCATCAGTTTCCTTGATTGGTAGCTGATAGTAATACATATGTAAATTTTGGTATACCGATGTCGAGCGGATATTATACTCGCGGTGTTAGCTTTATACAATAGGGGTGAATACAGCTTAACCCATTAAGAGGATATCGGAGCACGACCAACTTGATGCCTTCTTCCTTCCTCGTCAACAACAAAAATTGACTTATCTGTGGTATATTCTTTCCTATGTACAATATTTATTTGTCATAAAAGTTCTAGATTCCGCAAGTACTAGGTTTATGTTTACAATCCTAGGAAAGACTAGTTGTTTCTTTCTTTAGCTATATGCATATCGCAAACATTTTTCCTTGTGTTGAGTTGCCGTGATGAAATTTACTAAGGTGTGAAAAGTTCATTTTGCTGTATAAAATCGCATGTATAATTTTTATTTGTTATTTAAATTACTAAATAATTAAAGGTACATAATTATCTTTTTATATTCAGTTTGAACGAATCTTTTAAGGGGTGGTCAATGGAAATTGTAGGGCTACAAAGCTTTTTTTGTAGCCGCGCAAATATCGAAAAAGCGAAATATTTAAGCGAAGTTGTAATAACGATAAAATACAAACGGCCGAGTAATGATGCTATGTGTGGTCAGTTATTAGACTAACTTTATTTGCAAAATTCTTCTCCTTAAATAATATTCTAAGCAGTATTGCAATACCGTTCAATACATAATTTCCGCTAAGTATATAGTTTCGTTTTCTATTAGTGCATACGAGTATATACATAAGTATGTAAGTTATATAATTTTAACAGTTCATAAAAAGAGAATAACCCAAGTACATACTTTACTCTATTGCTCCTTCGTATACTTGCATAATGTAGTTATTAACAAAAGATAAATATAAAAAATGGGAACGCAGCATTGCAAGAGGCTGCTTACATATAAAGCTTAGTACATGTTAAATAAGACTAGCTAATGTGCACAAACAAATATTCATGTGATTGCGTGGACGAAAACATAGCGGTAGCATGAGTGTACAAAGCAAGCGCAAGCAAGCAATAAATATGTAAGTATGTACACAATGCAAATACAATTATTAACTGCATTGAGGTGAATGACTTCTAATGCTTGCCCTTGAATATTAGGCAAATAAGTAGAGAACAATAAATAGCAAAAATATATAGAGCATATAACCGTATAATGCAGTGGTTCTCAATCGGTGACCCAACATCCCGGCCCCGTTAAAAGGCATTTCAAACAAGGAGAAGGGATAGCTTGTAAATTGGTCGCCGAATGATTCCCTTCGTTGTTCGAATGTCCACCATACGCACTTTAAGAGTCCTTTCCTGGAACACAGTTTATAACTCTTCCAATATGCCATTTTTGTGTTGGTAAGTTGTCTTCATGGATGATAACCATTGAGTTGTTGTTGATGTTTGGTTG